TCAGCCTAATTCTTTGTCTTTGGTGAAAATGGAGGTCAATAATGTCTACTTCCAGTATTATGAAGAATAATTTAGATATTGTACTAAGAAAACTAGGTAATAAGTGTTCGTTTTCTTCTTTCCCTTTGTTTTCTCAAATCTCCTCATCAGATACAAAACTAACCAAGCTCACTGATTACTGGCTAACAGATCTCCTTTGCGAAATGAAAAAAATACTGGAAAACTGGTGCCCAGAAGAAAATACACTAGCCTAGAAGCTGCTTCTTTTAAACAACCTTATCTCCTGTCTTTATTGTAGAAAGCAAAAATCCTGTAAGGTGCTGATATGACATGATCCCCCGCTGCAATCCACATGCAATTTGTGAATCCTTGCCAGTAATTTTTCTAGATTCTGTTGTCCACATCATTCACGGAGAATATTTCTACAAAGAGGAGAAAAAACAGGATGGCGGCAGCAAAAGGCTTTGCAAGCACAGATGGAGTTACCTTTGCAAAGAGCATCAGCAAATCATAACCCTAGGGCTTGTGTCACATTTCTGGGAAACAGAAACTGACATTGTTTCTCTGCGGATGGTCTTGTCCTCTAAACAATGTTGAAACTCCTTAATCTCTCAAATGCATCTGAATGCTTTTAGGCAGTACTCAGGGAGAGCTGCTCAATGTCATGCAGAAACGTTATTCATGCTTTTGGAGGAGACAGCTTGCAGTTGCTTGGAGAGCAATTCAATACAGTGTTTCAAATCATGGTCTTTGGATTCAGGTAGCCCTGGGTTCAAGTTGTCTTCCTGTAGTTGAAGAATTTGCAGATTTGCAGAGGGAATTTGTTTCCTATTGCCATCTTAACAAATTGCCACAAATTTAGCAGCTTCAAACAATGTAGATTTAGTATCTTACAGTTCAGGAGGCCAGAAGTCTAAAAAGGGTTTGCAGGACTATGTTCCTTCTGTAGGATTTACAGGAGAATCTGTTTCTTTGCCTTTTCCAGCTTCTGGGGGTTGAGTTGCCTACCTTCCTTGGCTCATAGCCTCACCCTCCAGTTTCAAAGTCAACAGGGTCTCATCTTCTCAACCCTCTGACTTCCTCCTTCCCTCATTTAAGGGACTCTTAGGATTCCATGGGCTGACCATGTAATAATCCGAGATAATCCAGGACAATCTCCACATCTCAAGATCTTTAATTTATTTACACGGGCAAAATTCCTTTTGCCATATAAGTCCCCTTTGCAGTAGAAGTTTCCTTTTGGCCTATTTTCGTAGGTTCCAGGGGTTAGAACAAAGACACTTTAAGGGGGTGGGAATAGTCAGACTACAGCAGGGACCGAATTGCCTTATCTGGAACATGATGATCACAGTAGTTTCTACTGCACGGGGTTGTTACGAGGATCAAAGCGAATTACGCACAGTGATATTAACACCACTATGAAAACATTCAGTGACCCAGGAGCTTCAGACACATTAATGAGGAAGGCAGATCTGACGATCCCTGCTCTTGCTGGAGACAGACTTTAAATGAGAAATCCCAAGAATAAATGTATGTTCACAAACGATATAATACGCACTACAGAGGGATGGCAGAGGGCCCACCGGCGGGGAGGCCTGCTCAAGTCTAGAAGGATCGGAGAAGAACTCTCTGAGAAAGCAGCTTTTAGGTGAGATTTTAGGCATGAATAGCTGAGCTAAAAAGCAGAGAAGAACATTCCAGAAAAAGGAAAAATATGGGCAAAGACCCATGGCCGGGAATGAGCGGGCTGCGTTCAAGGAATTGGAAAGCGGGGGAGAGAGTGGCAAGTTATGGAGCTGCGGAAGCAGTTAGGGACCAGGGCCGGCTACCTCAGAGAGATCCTGTTAAGATATTGAGGCTTATCCTAAGAGTGCTAGCCGGGCTGGTCTGAGCAGATGGCTCGCCAGACTGCTCAGGTGCTGCGTGAAGGATGGAGAACCAGAGTAGAAGCAGGGATGCCGGGAGAGGTGAGAGATGATGGGGTGTCACGGACTGGGCTCCCAGGGAAGCAAACTCCTAGATGGAGAGGAACAGGCAGGTGATTTATCACAGACAGCACTTGGGATCAGTGCCTGCACACGGGAAAGAAACAGCATCGGGCAGAGGGAGGACTCAGCTGACCTTAAAGGATGTTCTTAAATGTGGACGACCCCTCAGAACTGGGGCGAGGGGAGTGGGCTTTGATACCCTCGTGTTGATCAGTCACTAGATGCAGCTATACCGGGAGGAGGAGGTGCCTCAGGTGACGTGACCTTCTTCAGGGGTGACAACCAGCAAAGGGGGCTGACAGCGGAGCATCTGGGGAAATCTTTATTTATTATTATTTTTTAAATTATTATTTATTTAATGGAGGGACTGGGGATTGAACCTAGGACCTCTTGTATGCTAAGCAGGCACTCTATCACTGAGCTACGCCCTCCCCTGCATCTGGGGAAATCTTAATGGGAGTTCTGGGCTGTGCATCACAGCATCCACTATATGGAGGCTTGTCTGAACAGTGGCAGGGAAACAGAGAGGAAGTGGATAGAGACATATTTTGTAGGTAGACTTGACAGACGGAACATGGTGAGATGGGTAGACTGATAGATGATAGACAGACATACAGACAGATGGGGAACATGGTGAGATAGGTAGATTGATAGATGATAGACAGACAGATAGATAGAGACAGGAGAGAAAGAGAAGGAGATATTAAAGATCATTGGTGGGCTTCTGACTTTTATAACTGAACAGCTATTAGTATCGTATTTGTATGTATTTGTATTGCTTATGTAGTTAAATAAATGTGTCCATACTTAAGGGGATGGGGCAGGCTGGGAATCAAAACTTGGATTTAATTAATGAATAGGGGATAAAAAGCATGAGCCCATGTAAGAATTACCTCAAGAAAGGGCAGAGCAAGAAAAGGCTGCCGATGCCTTGAGCAGTGACGATTAAGATGGTTATGTAATTTTCACAGCCCTGTGCAGGGCTCTTAATAAAGACTCAGTAAAAATCCTGTTGCCATAATAGTAACTCTCTTTAGATTAGTGAGGGAGATAAAGGTGTGCTGGTTATGCCAGTAAATCCCTCGTCCGAGGCAGCAGAACGTCGGGTTCTTCCATGGAAAAACCCAGAACAAGTATCAGCTGCCACGGCTCGTGAGTTTCACACCAGCTCACCGAGAAATGTCTTCCCTGGAAGCATCTTTCAGGAAGGGCTCCTGTCTGTCTTTGGTTCTCTCACTGGGGCCCTTGGCAATCCTTTCCACATCCCGTTCACAATATGCTCGGGATCGGATTTGCCTCCCTAAAAATCTACTCTCTACTAAGAAATGAAAGTAATTAATTTTTTTAATTATAAGGGAAATCATGTCATGTCTCAGCTCCAATTTCTCCAAAGACTGCCTATCTCCTAGAGAGTGAAACAAAACTTTACGAGAAAGACTACCGAATTGTGGTCCATCAGCCTCTCCCCCTACTCTTCTCTGGGGATTCTGCTCCAACCACACTCACCTCCTGGCTGTTCTTCACATGTCCCAGGAAGACTCTTAGCCTCAGTCCTCGTACTGCTGTTCCTCTGCCTCCAACACTCTTCCTTCCTTCCTTCCGGGATCTCTGCAGCTCACTCCCTCACCTGCTTCAGGTCCTTGTACCACGTCACACGAAGAGAAGCTGTCCCTGAACATCCTACGCCAATTCCAACCCTCCTTTGCGTCTTCAGAACAACTGCTTCGGGCATTACTTTCTGATGGCACCCATATTATAAACATACGTTTTTCTATTGTCTATTTCCCAGCAGCACGTAAACTCCATTAACGTTAAGTTAGGGATGTTCTGTTTCATTGATTGGGCTTAGCTTGGCTTACTGTTGTATTTCCAATGCCTAGAAAAGTTCTAGCTAAAAGTCAACCTTTAGTAAACATTGATTGAATAAATAAGTGAATGAGTGAATGACTGTATCAGAAGAGTCTCCAACTCAATTTTCTAGTGAGATGTCTTCTCCACACTCTCTCCCGTTGTACATTTTTCTAAATGACTGGATAAGAGGAGAACGAAGACTAGTCCTGTTACTTAGAGTTCTGGGAGCGGCAGGAGGTCCCTGACTGAAGGGAAATCTCTGGGGACCCTGAGAGGTGACATTTCACATTCAGTGGGATGTTAAGTGCTCCATCCATCAGTGGGGACCCTGGCTGGCTGAACATTGTGGCAAGTGGGAAGAATAAATTGAAGTTTTTCCAAAGCCAGTCTTACTCTGTCTATGCCTGGGGGACGCCCAAGTACGTCTTAAAGCAGAGAATCAACTCGTTCCTTTTGAGCACTGTGTCCGTAAAGCACCTTTTAACTTCTTCTCCTGGCTTTTTTGATATTGTCGTATTGATACACAAGCCTAAGGTGTCTGTCATTAATATTATTATTAAATCACGGTTTTCTTCAGTGGTTACAGACTAGCACTTGTACACAATCTCTGAAAGGTCACAGATTCAGCCTGTGGCACGTCAGCCTTTTGTCGCGTCCGACTCCTAGTCTCCAGTCAGACAAACTCCAAATCGAAGTCCTTGATTGTTAAGCTTTCCCTCGAGAGCTGTGGGGTTGCCCTGGGGAGGGACGTCCAAAGGGCACTGGGGCGCGCTGCCAGCTTTAATAACATCTCTGGGAGTGAAAACTTCCCAGTGGCCAGCAGAACCACCGGAAAGTTCAGTCTACATTGTTGTTTGGAAAGATTTTGAGAGTCTAACCCACGTTGTTTGTGTCTTATCTTTGCACGCTCCTGGTTTCAGCTAAATTTTTTTTTTAAATAGCTGAGCCCGAGTCTGCATATTTCTGTTGCCACAGACGAGGTGAAAAGAAATCCTCACGTGCCTGTCCCAACCCTGGACACAGCTTTCAGGAACATTTTGCACAGAAACAGGATATTGGCAACTCAACTGTTAAACCGGTCAGTGATGATTCTTCCTTGAGCTCACTCTGATGTCACCAGTGTAACTTGAGCCCGGAGCTTTTGTTCACCCTTTAAATAGCCGTCCGGGGAATGATTTTGCTACAGACTCTCTGGAGAGCCCAGGAGCTGAATTCCTGAAGATTCCCACATCGATGAAAGCAAAGCCCCACCACGCAGCCTGCACCATGTCCACCTCCCTCCGAGTGAGCCCGTCCGTCCACGGCTACCACTTCGACACGGCCTCCCGTAAGAAAGCGGTGGGCAACATCTTTGAAAACATCGACCAAGAGGCCCTACAGAGGCTCTTCAAGAACTCTGGGGACAAGAAAGCCGAGGAGAGAGCCAAGATCATTTTTGCCAGAGACCAAGATCTGGAGGAGAAAACGCGAGCCCTGATGGCCCTGAAAAAGAGGACGAAAGACAAGCTCTTCCAGTTTCTGAAACTGCGGAAATATTCCATCAAAGTTCACTGAGGACCAGAAAACGGATAAGGACGTTATCCCAGAATGGACGTTTGAAGACCCAGCGTGGCTGTGAGACCCTAACACACGGCATCATCTTGCTGCCTTGCACACTTCTCCGCTCAGGGGACTCCGGGGTCTCGGAGGCAGGAAAGGCACAGAACAAACTGGTGACAGAGACTCCAACCAATTTCACGCCCGTGCTTGTGCTGTTCCAGAGGAGAAGGAAACGCGTTCAGCAAAGACTGGAAAACTCTCCCTGCGGGCAAGGACTGATGCTCATGTCAGGAGGAGAGTCTGGACAGATGTCCTGAGGACTGAAACGGATGATAACAGAAGGATAGGGAAGAAACGCAGCCACAGTCTCTTTGTCAGGCCCTGGGACTTCAATTCAACCTGGACTTCTTTTTTCCTTAACCAAGCTGGGTAAGGGGAGGGAGGAGGGAGAGAGGGGAACAGGAAAGAGAATCCCACCCTGCAATCATTGACTGAATTTTTTATTTGAATGTTCAAAGTGTTGCGAAGCTTCGAGGTTGTCTATTGGAAGATTTTTTAAAAAAGAGATCAGTAATTGATTATTTATTTGCATTTATGACAATGCCTTAAAAATTGCACCGCATGGGTGTTAAGTACAAAATTCAAGGAACTGCAGTATTTTCAGCCGCTCAGAAAAGCCGGATGCCACCTTCTGGTTTGTAAGGGGATTTTTTTTTTAAATGCATTTCAAACTGGTTGCACAAAAGTTAAAATGAGGGGGGGGGGGTTCCTTCACAAAACCGAAGTACTGTGAACAGATTTTATAATTTTTAAATCTTCTAACTAAAGCTAAAATATAATCTAAATTTCTTACAGTTACTGCAGTAAGCGTTAGGAAATGAATATGATACACTAAATAGTTTATAAAGATGCTATGGTTTCTATAATTTATTATACATGACAAATGATATGCAACCTTAATAAATTATTATAAGCTTAGCTGCTCTTGGTGTGCGGTGATTGATCTCAAAAGGAAAGTCAGATGGCAATTTTTATTATTATAAACTTGTATAAATTGTTATAAACTAGTCTAAGGATTTCACTCTGGGAGGCGGCTTTACCTTAATTGCCAAACTTATTCAAAGCAAAGTCTTACATCAAATATCAAGAAAGTTTCTCTGTTCCAACTTTAAAATGTAAGATACAGACATAGAAATTCTACTTTGACTCATCAATATTGTTTAAGTATGCATAGAGGGTGAGTTTTAAAAGGTTTTTCTCTCCATATTTGAAAATTTTCCTCTGTGGCTATGGTAGCTGAATACATTTGGACATTTATTTCTCCCAAAGCAATCTATTTGGGGGTTAGAGTCTGAATTATGATCAAGATTTTGTGGGTTATCAATGTTTATTTAATATAAAGCCTACATGGGAATAACATTACAGTCTCCTTGCTTAGCTTCTCATAAAATTATAATAAGGTATTCCTAAGAAGGCATCACCCCAATGCCTACCGTGCTCTCCTAGCAGAAAGAAATTGAAAAATTCCCTAGAAATTAGGTGTTTCAGAGACATCTGCAAAGGGTTTTGAAACTGCTGATTATGGTAAAAATAGAACAAGTGAAAGGCCTGAAATCTTTCAGGAAAGTTATAAGGCTGGGCTTTAAATAACACATTTTTAAAAGGAATTTGAGGGAGGAAATCTATTTTCCAATATTGATGGATTCCTTTGCGGAAGAGAATAGAAAATCACGCCATTAAAAAGGAATTTTGTACTTGACAGCACCCAAGAAAACCACCAATGCACATGCAGAATCGTATACGTGCCTGTGCGTGTCTGTCTGTCTTTCTGTCTGCATTTTTCCTGGAGGAGTGTTTAGAATTTCCGTCAGATTTGCAGAGACGTGCGTAAAGCCAAGATAAGTTAAAAACTAAAGAGGAAGAGTTTTGACTGGTGGGAGTTTCTGCTAGTGGTGGTATTTGGGATCATCAAAGCGCAGGTTTGGAAAGAAATACGTTTCCTGCCTCTGCTAGGGCTTGTCAGTGACACATTCTCTCTGTCCTTCTAGAACCCCCCAAAGACACCAATTAACTGCGTGGGAAGGACATTTAGTAACTTACACCTTCAGAGCAGCTCTCGTATTCCTTGCTTCTGAAGCACTTGTTCAACTCATTTTCAGACTTGAAACATCTTAGACGCTGGGTACAGGTCAAAGGTTGAGTGTATTTCACATACTCATAACTATACACTAGCCGCCTCTGTTTCCAACAGAGAATAACGCCAATCTGATCCACTTTTCACAGGAGCACGTATTAACTTAGCTTTCTTGCAGAATATTATCAGCATTTTTTTTATTGTAAGACCACAACATGGGAAAGAAATTTAAAAGCAACTGGGGGATGATCCACCACAGTGTGAAAAATAATCATTCTTCCAGTAGGTTGTGACACGAACACACTGTCCCTTTCTTTCATGGAAAATCAAAGCTGGGATCAGTGATGACGCAAAGATGATTTTTAACTTCATAATGTTTTTATGATTTAACTACAAGGTGAAAGGACCCATCATAAGAACAGATAGGATTAGTTCAGCTCAGAGATCCCTCTGGGGCACAAAGATGACCAAATATACCTCAAGACATCTCATATCTTAAAGAAATAAAGGCAGCAAAGGTGGAATAGCTTATTAATATGTTTGTGTCACTAAGATCATAATAATGACAGCTAACTTTCACTGAGTGTTGACTGTTCACCAGACAATTTTCTAAGTGGTTTTCTTTGGTGCATTAAATCACTTAATTAGTGCCGTGAAATAAGAGCATGTGTGTGCAGGCATGTGCCTATGTATGTGTCGTAATGAAACTGAAGCACAGAGAGGTGAAGTCAGTTGCCCAAAGACACACAGCTAATGAGGGCAGGACTCAAAACCAGAGAGACTTCATTCCTAGCCGATAGGTTAGACTGCTTCTCGAGGAGAAACTGAACTTCTCTTTTACCCTGTGAAGTGACAATTACTTACATGCTACTAAATTATAAAGACAGGAAGGCAAGGTTGCTGTGAAATCATTTTTATCTGATCTGTGTCTGTCAATCTATATTTACTTGGCATTTGCTCTACATGGGAAAAACTCCTTAATCATTTTAATTGTGTCAAAAGTTTCCCTGATATTAGCCTTTCAAGTCTACAGTTAGAATGACACCTGGCTGAACACCTTGGAACAAAAAATCACATCTAAGTTCTCTTCTGAGATGTCGGTCAACATTTTGGGTCTGGGTTTGCTCCCCGGGGGAAATCAGAAACTCTGGGTTCGTGGTTTTGTTCACTTAGTGAGATGTTCCCTGTCCTGGCCCACAGCAAAGGAGGGTTTGTACCTTGCGGAGCCTCTGAATAGATGGGGTTTACTGAGAAAGGAGCCCAGGTTCTGTGACTCCCAAATATTTTCCCATTGTCGGAGGGTAGTCAGAGGATGCGACTGGTGTTCCCTTGGAGACCTTTTCTAACAAACAAATGATTCAGCCGTGGTCCAGGAATTCCGTGGCCATTCAGAGTACCTCTTCAACCCTCCTAAATGCCACACAGGGGCTTCTCGGAGTGCACGTCATTTGTGTCCCTTCTCACACACAGGGAGTAGCCGAGTGGAATCAGGGTTTGCACCGTCTCAGTTCATGCATCGAAAATGTAGTAAGCATCTATGCATGCGCCACCAGGGCCAGAACGATCCTCTATTCCCCTTGTCAGAGGAGCCAGAAGATGCTTTAAAAGGAATACAGGGAGATGTATGGTAGATGTTTAAACAGGATGCTACGGGAGCACAGGGGTGTGTGTGTGTGTGTGTCTGTGTGTGTCTCTGTGTGTGTGTCTGTATGTTTGGAGAATAGCAAAAGAACTGGAGGAAACCTAACCCTACGTGGGGAGATTCTAGAAGATTCCATTGAGAACTTTCAAAGTAGAAGTTAGGGGAGTGGAGAGAAGAAGTGGCATTCCAGCAGCTGGGTACAGCATTTGCAAAGGCAAGGAGGTGGGAGAGCGTGTCACTGGTTTGAGACTCTCTAAGCAGCTCAGGGCTGGCGGCCTAAGCATTTGGAGCAATAATTAGAAAGGCAGTTGGGTCTTAAAGACCAGCTGGAGTATTAATTTTATTCTGAAGGGAACAAAGGATCACGGAGGACTTCCAATAGGAGGGTGACATTTACTGCCTGACTACGATGTATCAGGCCCTAGAAAAGACAGAGCCAAGATTCTGAAAGCTGATGCACTGTCTGGCCCCTGAATACATGGTCAGATTCTATAATGATTTCTTCCAGCCTCTGTGGCCTTATAGTTGGTCTCCGGAGGTGAAAAACCATAGAGGACTTTCATGACACAATGATAAATATGTGAAGACAGTAGATGAAACAGAAGTTAGAGATTCTGAAAGGTCTTGGGAGGCCAGATTCGGGGGGAATAAGAAACAAGTTCAATCCCTAATTAAATTTTGTTTAAGACATTGTGGTGATGCTTGAACCTTAGGATGCGTTATTATTTAACAAACATTAAATTCATGGCTACTAAGCTCTCTCTTCATGTCAATAACTCTCCTGCAATGTTTCCAGATATTTTAAGTGATTATCAGCACTCTCAAATGTGTTATGTTTTTTTTAACATATGCACATGCTGCCCGTGGATTTGGTTCAGTCATGTATTGGCAAAACTATCTTACAGAATTTTGGAAATAAACATCCTGTCCCTACAGGGTTTAGCAGTGGTTTAGAAAAAATGGATGAGTAGTTGGAAGGTTTTGGTTGTAGCCACCTTCCTCCCCACCTCTGCCTTACACACACACACACACAGAGGACATATACAGTCTTACGAGGAGCACAGAAATTGGGTTTTGAGCTTTGATTTCCTCTGTGGGCAGCAGCCTGCTATTGAGCAAATACCACCAGACTGAGTCTGACGTTCTGGGGTTTTTCCCAACTCTGCCCTAAGCAAATTCCTTTTTTTTTTTTTTTTAAATCTCTGGCTTTCATCTGTAAGGGAGAAACAAACAGGTCTGACTGGAGGAGATCTCTCATATGCTCCAGAAACGGGAAATCATAACTGTACCTACCACCTGACATGATAGGATTTCTTTCTGGATCAGCTGGTGTTCCATGTGGGATAAGAATTTCTTTTCAGTTAAAACCAAAGCCTAACAAAAGTTTTCATGGTTAGTAATATATGCTGAAGGCAGAATGTGAGGGAAATAACTCTCTGCGGGTCCTTTTTTAAAAGTTTTTTAAATTATGTAAGTTTCAGTTGTACAGCATCATAATTTGACATCTGTAGACACTACAGAGTAATCACAAGTCCAGTTGTAGTCCATCAGCATACAACTGGTCCCCTTCCCCCATTTTGCCCACACCCAGCCCTCTTCTGCTCTGGTAACCATTAGTCTGTTGTCTGTATCTATGAGTTTGTTTTTATTTTATGTTGAATGTTCATTTGTTTTTTGTTTTGTTTTGTTTTGTTTTTTAGATTCCATATTTGAGTGAAATCATATGGCATTTGTCTTTCTCTATCTGACTTATTTCACTTAACATCATACATTCAGGGTCCATCCATGTTGTTGCAAGTGGCAAGATTTCATTCTTCTTTATGGCTGAGTAGTATTCCATGGTGTGTGTGTGTGTCTGTGTGTGTATCACATTTTCTTTTCTATTCATCCATTGATGGACAGAGTTTGTGTCTATATCATAGCTATTATAAATAATGCTGCAAGGAGCATAGGGGTACATGTATCTTCAAATTAGTGTTTTCATATTCTTCAGATAAATACCCAGAAGTGGGATTGCTGGATCATATGGTAGTTCTTTTATTTGGTTTTTTGAGGAATCTCCATACTGTTTTCCATAGAGTGGCTGCACTAATTTACATTCCCACCAACAGTGCACAGGGGTTCCCTTTTCTCCACGTTCTCACCAACATTTGTTATGTCCTGCCTTTTCGACCACACCCATTCTGACAGGTGTGAGGTAGTATCCCATTTTAATTTGCGTTTCCCTAATAGTGATGTTGAGCATTTTTTCATGTGCCTGTTGACCACCTGGGTGTCTTCTTGGAAAAATATCTATTCAGATCTTCTGCCCATTTTTTAATCAGGTGATTCATTTTTTGTTGTTGTTGAGTTGTATGAGTTCTTTATATATTTTGGATATTAACCCTTTATTGTATATATGACTTGCAAATATCTTCTCCTAGTCAGGAGGTGGCCTTTTTATTTTGATAATGGTTTCTTTCACTGTACAGAAGTTTTTTAGTTTGATGTAGCCCCATTTGTTTCTTTTTGCTTCTCTTTCCCTTGCCTTTGGAACCAGGAAAGATCCCAAGTAATCAAAACAATCTCAAGAAAGAAGAAGAAAGCTGGAGGTATGACAATTCCTGATTTCAAGCTATGTTACAAAGCTGTAATCAACAAAACAGTATGTTACTCGCACAACAACAGACACAGATCAATGGAACAGCACTGACAGCCCAGAAACAAACCCACACATAGGTGGACAATTAATTTATGACAAAGGTACAAAGAATACACAGTGGAGAAAGGGTAGTCTCTTCAATAAATGGTGCTGGGAAAACTGGAAAGCTTCATGCAAAAGAATGAAACTAGACCACTTTCCTATACCATACACACAGAATAATCCAAAATGGATTAAAGACTTGAATGTAAGACCTGAAACCATAAAACTCCTAGAAGAAAACATAGGAAGCATGTTCTTTGACATCAGTATTAGCAAAGGTTTTGTGGCTCTGACTCCATCTGTGACTTCTAGTAGCCTGCCTCTTTCCTGGTGGGTGGGCGCCCCTGCCAGGACCAGCTGCTAATATTATGACCATCTCTTCCACACCCAAGCACTGTCAGAGTCACCGAGACCACTCCACTGTGGGTGAGAATCATAATCACCTGTGGTGTTTTAAAAATATAGATTCTTGGCCCCAAATCTCTGGGCATTGAGCCAAATGATGGGTATCTTTACAAAGTCCCACAGTTAACTGTGAAGATCGTAGGATGCAGAAAACCCTTTTCTTCCCATGGATGTATTTATTCACTCATTTAAAAAGATTTTATTTCGGGGGGGATGTAATTAGGCTTATTTTTTATTATTATTATTGTTACTATTATTACTACTACTACTACTACTACTACTACTACTATTATTATTATTATTATTATTATTATTATTATTATTATTATTATTATTATTATTATTATTAATGGAGGAACCAGGGATTGAACCCAGGACCTCGTGCATGTTCAGCATGCACTCTGCAACTCAGCTATGCCCTCCCCGCTGAAAGCCCTTTTCTTATGTTATAGTTGGTTCTTCTATTTAAGACACTTCTTAGTACAAGATGAAAAAAAGGATTTGATTTGATGGCATTGGCTAGAGGTTTTGTGGGGTGTTTTTTTTTACCATATTTATTCTGTCATTAATTAGAACTCAGACCCCGAAAAGGACACAGTTTGAGGAGATATCATTTCTCTTAGATTTTAATCGTTGCGGTATATCCAGACTAATGCATGCTACTTTCCTGGGATTTCTTTTCCTTCTGATATTTCAGTCTGACATTTGTCTACTTTGAAACATAGATGTTTTATCAGGAGAATGGCTTCTGCTTCTTACATTCCTTTTCATTCTCCTGCAATTTGTCCATGTTGATTATTTATGCTCAGGTTTTGTCATCTAAAAGATTTTGAAGAATCCCACTGATCCCAAGGTCATAGGTGCCACAATCTCTGAAATGGTATTTTGAGAACATCTTCTCCGACCGGCTTTGCGGAAGCACCCCCCGCAGGGCAGTTGTTTCCAAACCTACTGTTACGAGAAACTCCTGGGGATGTTTCTAAAATCCAGGTCCTTGAATTTAACGATTCAGAATTTCTGGGGCTGGTCCCCCGCTATCTCTGGTTTTAAATCACTCCCCAGGTGATTTTGCTGCAAAGTCAGATCCAGAACCACTGACCCAGATTACAGTCACCCACTGTGTGACGATGGGGCTTGTTTTGGTTCATCCCGTGTCTCCCCAGGCACGTTGTAAGCCTCAATGCATTCTTGACTAAACAAACTTGACCCAAGGTGTGCCTGTTACCTCATCCTGGAATGCGTGATGCTTACAACCTCCCATCCAAACAATACCATTATTTTGACTTTGCTCGTAAATTCTATATTCTAAGAAATCTTACCTGGTCACCATTAGCTAAACTCCCACAAAGCACGTGTTCTTAGTCATTAGAGTACATTTATCAAGTGGACGGAAGGCCTTTCTTGCCCATAAAAGTATTTACCCCTTGCCAGCTACCCTGGAGAATTCATTTCTTAGTCCAGACAAATTATTCTTTAAAAGTTAGTCTTTTGTGAGGAGAGTGTAATAGCTCAGTGGTAGAACAAATACGAGGTCCTGGGTTCAATCCCCTGTCCCTCTACTTAAAAAAGTATAAGTAAATAGAAATAAAGTTAGTCTCTTAAAAAGGAAGATTTAGCACGAATCTGTGGCAATCACTTCTGTAATTTAGCACACTAACACGTGAGAAAACACTTTGTTTCTCGCAAGTATCCTCCACCAAGAAAATGTGGCTTTCATTTTAAGGGACGAGTGGGCAGAAAAGCAGGAAGATGGAAACGGAGGATAACGGAGCATCGGAAGCTGGTGAAGGAGGAAGCAGCAGAAGGTGGTCGTGAGCTAAACATAAACTACTGCTCTTGGTTTTCTGAGCCCTGGTCTTGGCTGTTGGCTGACAGCTGGATGTGCCGTGAGGGGGACAGCGGTAAGATAAACAGAGAGTGTGTGGCAGGAAGAACCGGATTCCAGTCCTGCCTCAGCCATTTAGTACCACGTGTCAGTTTTGGGCAAATTGCTTAACCTCTCTCAGCCTTACTTCATCGTTTATAGATGAAAGACATTATTATCTTTATGCTGTAAGGATATTGTCCTGTATCAGTTTGCTAGAACCATCATAACAAAGTATTGCAGACTTAAACATTGATTCCCCCCCGGGTTCTAGAGGCTGGAAGTTCAAGCTTAAGGCATCGGCAGAGCTGGTTTCTTCTAAGGCTTCTCTCCTTGCCTTGTAGGTGGCTGTCTTTTCTGTGTCTTCCGTGGTGTCCCTACTCTGTGTCCTAATCTCCTCTTCTGATAAGGACACCAGTCAGATTAGACCAGGGCTCACCCATGTGACCTTATTATATTTAATTACCTCTTTGAAAGCCCCATCTCCAAATATAGTCCCATTCTAAGGCACTGGGGGTTAGGACTTCAATGCATGAAATTAGAGGGAACCGAATTTGGCTCCTAACACCTCCATGCTTATTTCTTTTGATTATTAAAAGCATAAAATCATGGTTAGAAGTTAAGCCGTAAAGAACATATGTATGTTCATGTATAACTGAAGAATTGTGCTCTACACTGGAAATTGACACAACATTGTAAAATGACTATAACTCAATAAAAAAATGTAAAAACAAAAAAGAAGTTAACCTTTAAGGGTAAGATTCCTGGGGACAGGGATGGTTCTTTGCAAGTGGTTGAACAGTGCAAGTTCCCAGCACAAGCTTAACGTTGGGTAAACACTTAATAAGAGTGTGTTCGTATGAACACACATACTTCACATAAACATACGATATTTGTTTGATGTATCAACAAACTAATCTCTAAAACCAACATACAATCACTCGTATCCTTTTTGTGTCCTCCGCATCTCCAAGGAGAGCTCCGTCCACAGTTGGCCCCATTAGTGGTTCCAGTTGAAAGAGTCGTGTGGGGAAGGCATTCTGCCCTGACGCGTCACTGCCATGAACCCCTTCCTCTCTGCTTTTCCCCACACGTGGCGAATGGTTTCAAAATGTTCAGTGGACGTGAACAAGTTCTCTGTACATCTGTGAACTGAGTCTGTTGATGGTTCCAAGTTCTGTCTTGTTATTGGCACAATTTTTGTGCCTCTGATTGTGGATCTAAGATGGAAAATACTGTTTTTCCCCCCAGTTTCGGGCATGTACCACGAGTCACCGCCACAATCCTGGCACCTCATTTGGGCGAGAATGAAGGGAGGGGTTGAGATCGTGCTGATCACCAAAGTAATTTTATACCTCTTACCTTATATGGCCGGAATTTCAGAATGAATGGCACAGGTTTGTTTAGAGACTTTCCTCATCAGGGCTTGAGAAGTGTGGGAACCTTTGTGGAATGAAGGCTTGCAGCGTGTTTTTAGAAACCAAATGCCATGGGCTATTGTCTGATGTCAGTTGGGGGAAAAAAAAACTAAATTAAATGTAATATTATATCAATGATTAAGGTCACATTAATATGACATTGAAAGATCATTTAATGGCGTAAATTGTGTAAGTCAGCCAAGTAAATGTGGGATGCTATTGAGGCAAAATAATAATCCGAGTGTCTGGTTTTTAACTTTAAGTTGATCACGGTCACACTACGTAGGCGGGAACCAGTTTTATCTTTTCATTCTACACACATTTGGATGTTGACAAGATCTACGTCTTCACCTTTCACGTGGGATCCAAAGCACACGGATTCCCCGTCATCCTTGTAAGATGTCAAGACCAGATCCTCTGTCCCTTTGATTAGATTTCACACCTATTTCAGTAAATCTTTACTCTTTTATAGCTTTTTCTTATTGTTTTGAAACTGATGTAAGAAGCCGACTGATTCTTCTCTTTCAACTTTGAAAACGCCATTTGCTGTCAGGTAACTTTTAAAAATTCAAGCAGATGAGACAGAGCTGGTTGCTTGGGCAGGAAGGGGACATGCTGGTTGCATTACTGCTCAGAACTCTGCTCCTCAGCTAAGAAAGACTAGAATCCCAGTATTGTGGGCACCAGTGTTGTAAGCCAGAAAGACGTGCTCACCCGAATCAAACTCACCATCTGCAAAGGTGAACAAAACCCCTCATTTACTCATTAATGAGAGAAATTGAACTGCCAAGCAAGAGGACAGATTACAAGTGAAAGCAAGGGAGAGGCAGTGTGTAGAGGACAAGGTAGCCTGGCTTTGACACCTTTTGAAGACCTCATAGCAGAGAACCCTTGTCTACTGACTGCTGCAACATTTAGCTTGTGCTGCGTAACAAACCCTCTCAATACTTAGTAACTGAGAATGACGGCTACTCCCTTTAGCTCAGGATTCTGTGGGGCAGCTTGAGGGTTCTCCCAGCCTGGGCCAACTCAGCTGTCCTCGACTGGGTCCTCACACATCTCTGGTCAGACGATGTGGGTGGCCTCCCTCACGTCTAGTGACTGGCAGACTGTTGACCAGAGAGCCTCCATCAGAGGAAGTGGCTTGTCCTTGACTACCTTTTGCAGTATTAACACTTAGGGGCTTCTCAGCACATGAGAGCTAAATTAGCCTTTGTGAAGTTCTGCTTTTTGGTCTCCCCTGCGTGTACACACCTATGTGTACACACCTGTATGTGATGCTCTCCACCCAAGATGCTCACCACCCACTTTCTTTGTAAC